CAATGTCAGTCTAGCCAATGTATTTACTTTCACTATTAAAGTCACAGGATTTCAGAAAACAACACAATTGTACAAATACAATTGTGTGAAACTGTGTGAAAATATCAAAGTAATAAAAGTCAGCAAGACGGCCTGCTGAGTTGTTCTGCTGGATTTAACACACCCCTGTGCTTAGTCATTCAGCTGTTTTTGTGGGGGTCTGTGTGGTGCAGAGTGGATAGGTCCACCAAAATGGATTCCTCAGCTTTGTGAGGGTCCTGTCTATAAATACCCCTGACTTACAGAGTGACTGACAGCCACAGGCAGCTGCAGCCACCAGCCAACCAACCCACTGAGACTGTCCCCAGTGATCCGAGCCGCCCTGTGCACGCTGACAGTCCTGCTCTGTTGTGGGGAGCGAGTAGGGTGCCCACGAAACCCAACCAGCATTAGGTCGACAGAACAAAATGGCGGCCCAGACTATAGACCCGGTGGAGCAGCCTCGGATGTACCAACAGAGTCTGCTTCAGGACGGATTGAGTGACCTCTTGGAGAATGAAAAGTTTGTGGACTGCGTCCTCAAAATTCAGGAGGAGGAGTTCCCCTGCCACCGCTTGGTTTTGGCCGCAAGCAGCCCTTTCTTCAAGGCCATGTTCCTGTCCGAACTGGAGGAGAGCAAGAAGCGTGAGATTGTCCTCAAAGATGTGGAGCCAAGTGTCATTAAGATGATCCTGCGCTACTTATACACCTCTGACATTAATCTGACAGAACAGAACGTCCAGGATATCTTCATGGTTGCTAACATGTACCAGATACCCTCGATCTTCTCTGTATGTGTGTCCTACCTCCAAGAGAAGCTGGTTCTGGGAAACTGCTTGGCTATCTTCAGGCTGGGACTGCTGCTGGATTGTCCCAGGCTTGCTCTGAATGCTAGAGACTTCATCTGTGAACGCTACCAGGTGGTTGTCAGAGACCAGGACTTCCATCAGTTGGGCGCGAGCGAGCTGGCCATCATCATCACCTCAGACGCCCTCAACATTGAGCGGGAGGAGCTGGTGTTTGAATCTCTAATGGACTGGGTCAAACATGACGAGACTAACCGTGTTAAGGACCTTCCAGAGCTTTTGCACTGCATCCGTTTCAGGCTCATAGCTCCGGATTACTTCAAAGAGAAAGTAGAGCGTCACCAGTTCCTGCGGTTCAGCCAGGACATCAAGAAGGAGCTGGATCTGGTCAAGGATGCTTACAAAGGGCGTCTCCCAAAACCCAAGAAGCTTGAAAGTGACGAGGCAAAGGGGGGAGAAGAAAGCGAGGAGGAGGACGATGAGGAAGAAGGGTACTTGCCGGGTATACTCAACAACAACCCTCGCTTTGGAATGTTTGAGCTGGAACTGATACTAATGATCAGTGACAAAGGGACTGTGGCCTATGACCCGGTAGGAAATGAATGCTTTGTGGCCTCAGAGTCGACAAAAATTCCCAAGAACCACTGCAGCCTGGTGACCAAGGAGAACCAGGTGTTTGTTGTCGGAGGACTTATCTACAACGAGGAGGACAAAGATGAACCGTTCAGCTCTTACTTCCTGCAGGTATGGTGTGTTTTGTAACCTGAAAAACAAGGTAAAATTATATTTCCTTGTTCCTCAATCCTCACATATCATTGTCTTCACCCCCAGTTTGACCCAGTGAGTTCAGAATGGTTAGGGATGCCTTCTCAACCCAACCCTCGCTGTCTGTTCGGCCTGACTGAAGCTGAGAACTCCATCTTCGTTGTTGGAGGAAAGGAGCTGAAGGATGGAGAGCACGCCCTGGACTCAGTCAGCATCTACGACAGACAGTAAGTGTGGATAGGGATCTTCTTTAAATCCATGGTCTAAATGAAAACACTTGTATTTTTCAAGGGAAGTCTTTTCAGGAAATGTTTCTTATTAATCAGCAATCAAGCCTCCTTTTAAATAATCAGAGAGTGTAATACAATCACTCTCATTGTCACAATAAAAGCATTATTTCTATAGATATAAAATGCTGCATCATTGTCCTGTGTAAACCATGTAAAGCCATCAAAATGCATTTTTCAGCAGAATGATTGGCTCTTTTTGTCTCAAAAGTTGTATAAATGTCTAAACTTTAAACTTAACCTTTGAGTTTTTATGAAAAATCCAAATCTATCAAATTGTATACATGCTTTTTGTGCCACAAAGTTAGTTATTGAATTCCTGAAGATCTCCCTCGTCATCATTTCTTATCAGTATTATTGCTGCATGAGTCTGTAGATTCACTTCATTATCATCAATAATTGTATTAAGGATTACTTCAAGAGGATGCATATTCTTTTTTTGTGCACAGGTCATTCAAATGGGGAGAGTCTGACCCTCTTCCTTACCAAGTGTACGGCCATGGAACCGTCTCACACAACGGTCTGGTCTACGTCATTGGAGGGAAATCTGAAAGCAAGTATGTGGCACTCTGTTTCCTGTATAGTATAGATCATTTTATTACACCTCAGGATTGTATTTTCACACTGTGGTTCCATGTAACCAATAAGAATGCTAGTTTTTGTGCCTTTTTTTAAACCAAAACCGTAATGTATTGTAATTTATTCTATGTTGCTCAATACTCAATTTGTAAAAGTTTTACTTCAGATACAACAGATTGTAATCCTTTAGGTATTTAAAGGGGTATTTCTGTGATTTACTTTTATAAAGTTGGGGAACTCGTCATACAGGAAAAAAAAGAATAGTATGGTCAAGATCGAGCTACCTGAGAAATCATTACATTTATCATCTAGTAAGCTACAAAAACACTTTATCCTAAACTAATAATGCAACTGAACAGCATCTTCAACCGGAGCCTCCCTGCCTTCAAACGCCCCCTTCTCTTTCAATTCCACACCCTCAGTTTATGACATCATCAGGGTTGTTTTTTCCACAGAAAAAAACTGTTTATAACTGTTTACAGAATGAGTGTTACTCTTTGTGATAAGTAAACTGAACTTCATCTATAAGATAAACTAGCCCCTTTAACACACTGTTTTAAATGATTCATGTAGGAAATGTATGAGAAGGGTCTGTGTCTACAACCCCACAAAGTTTGAGTGGAAGGACCTGGCTCCTCTGCAGACGGCCCGCTCCCTGTTTGGTATCACCGTACACAAAGAACAGATCTTCGTGGTCACGGGGGTCACAGACGCAGGGCTCACCAGCTCTGTGGAGTTCTACGACATTGCCACCAACAAGTAAGACAACTGTTGTTTTTGTATATGAGCCACTTTAACTCATTGTTATGAGGTGAAGCCTGTGTCCACAGTAATGTAATGACTCATCGAGCATTTATAGAAGATCATAAGGTCATAAAAATAGCACTGATTGTACTGCTGTGTGTATCATACAGTAACATATAGCAGCTTATCTAACACCATCATCACGTTATTGTTGTTTTGTGCTCCAGGTGGTCTGAGTTTACAGACTTCCCTCAGGAGCGCAGCTCTCTCAATCTGATCTCCACTGGGGGTTGCCTGTATGCTGTGGGGGGCTTTGCCATGATGCCCAGTGAAACCAGCGACGAGCTGGTCCCAACAGAGATGGCTGACGTTTGGAGGTGAGGGGGCCCATGAGTGAATATAATGTGACCACAATAACAGAGATTTCATTCTACAGTTGAAAAGACATGATACCCCATTATTAAAATGTTTTAAATGACAACACAGCAAAGAATAATCTCATGCCAAACTCCAATTATGTCTTTCCATAGACCATATACTTTGCCAAAAGGATAAAGGTTTAATGGATATTTTTTAAATTAAAAGTCTATTAGTATTATTTTGTTTTTCTAATTGTTAACTAATCCTATTAAAGACCAAAAGCAACAATTATTTCATTTATTAAAATCACAAATGATGTGATCTTTTTTAAATATTGACATCGAGTGGGAACAAAGGGGTTTGAGGCTGAGTGCCACACATAAGGCAAAGTATTGAGGGAATATACCAGATTTATTATATTTTACAATAATGGCTGCATTCCAATTATGTTTTCAAGGATGCTTGTTTGGTGCGTGTTTGCTCACTCTTCACACCTTACTTGCATAACAAAATGGAACTGAACAATTGTAACTGTACTTTTCCTGTTTAGACAAGTCCAAAGTATGCCATGGTAACATACATAAATGTATACTGTAGCTCATTAGGGTTAAAAGTGGAGAAAATAATAATCTCTAAAAATTGCACTTTCCATTTACTACTGTCGACAATGTTTATTTTATAAAATATTATAAATATTTGTCATCCCAAAGATATTCAGTTTACATAGAGGATTAAAGAAACCAGGAACTATTCACATTTAAGAAGCTGGAGTGGAATGGAATATTGATTGTTGAAAAGAAAAATACTCAAACTGATTAATCTTTTATCAAAATAGTTTATGACTAATTTCTTAGTTGACAATGATTCAATTAACCTTTGCATATCTAGCTAAAAGGACTTGAAATTGCCTTTGTTATTGTTATATTCTATCCAATGATGCTATAAGCAGACAACAACTGATTTGTGTATGTTTCCCACAGATATGACGAGCCAGACAAGTGCTGGAATGGGATTTTGCGAGAGATCAGCTATGCAGAGGGAGCCACTATTCTCCCAGTGCGTCTCAACACTCTGCGCCTCACCAAGTTATAACTGAACTGTTGCTGATGCCACGAGGTTAATAGTGATACATTATCATTAAAGTAAATGATTGTACTCATTATGGACCATCTCGACCATTAGTAACAATCCCATTTGGTCTCTCAAGGAGAAAAGGTGTTATGAGGTTGTTCCCCCAATCAATGATTCCCCCTATTTTTTTACAGCAGGGGGAGACAGATTCATGTTAATGCTAGCTTTATAAAAAGCTAACATGTTGATTTGTACATCTGTTTTATTTGTTATTTTATTTCATCAAGTGTCTTTAATACCTGTTTGCTTTATTTGAAGCAGAAATAAAGATTGACTGTTTTGCTTTAAGGCCTGTCCACAGTGCAAATGGTTGTATTCAACATCATTTTACTTTTTGTTCAATAACATTTTTACAACAGATTCAGCATAATGTACAGTACACCGTATTTACAGATAATATACATGGCAACAGATAAAATACACTTTAGAGATATATTATGTAGATAGAATGAGCAAGGAATGTTTCAATATAAACCACAGTTTTCCAGTTGACTCCTGAGCACTCTAAGTCATCACCACAACACACATTATAAACCAAGATATCTGTTTAGGACAATATACAACAAGTCTGAGGTAATTTCAGGTAGTTCCAGCTTTACACACAACAATATGAGGGGCTAAAGTAAACATCAAACTCCAAAATGACTCATACATGAAATTTGACACTATGACTGCCTTTACATATTAATGTCTTTTTTTGACCTGGGAGGGAGGGAATGACAACTATCATGCAGGGTGTTATTGAAGTCGATAAAATACATGAAACAATCTACAGCAGATCGAGCGTCTTTGTGAGGTAGGGCTTTAAATGTGAAGGAATATTTAATCCACAAAATTATCATTTGTATATTAAGTGCTTTCCCCCTTTCACCTTAAATCCTTGAAGAAAACCGTTTTTTTTGTGTACCTATCCAATATTTATTTTTGTATATATCTTTACAAACAAAGGTCTTATCCAATAATTCATGTATGTACAAATGGTCATTTAGGGGTTACATATTACGTAAATGCTGGCATAATAACATGCTGATGTTTAGAGGGTTTATGTAACCATATTTGGAATCTTAGGATAGCATGTTAGCATTTGCTAATTACTGTATATCAGTAATAATCAAAGAAGCTCTGAGGTTGATGAAAACGTCCTTAGTTTTGCAGTTTTAAGAAAACTTTCAGTATAGTAAAGTATAGATGACAATACCAAATGAAAGGCATTACTGTGGTTATTACCTTTCAACCAGCTTTGGAGCATAACAACATATTTCACTAGATAAGTAGAAACTCAGACCTGCTGGATGTGCTAGTTTAAAGTCGTAAGATCATAAAGTTATTAAGATTCATCCTCTGGTGATAAAGTCTGTATACGTCTAACAGATATTTCCATCTGGACCAAAATGTTCAGCCAACTGACCGACAGCCATGCTGCTAGCGTGGCTAAAGAACAGCAAGATAAAATAACAATATCTACTTAATCTCTGACAGCATAGCATAGAGAGTTTACACTCAATGAAATGAATTGTCCATGCAATTCAGTTAATGGAAGTTAGTGTTGCCACATATTTATTCACAATGTTGTGTATTGTGAACTAATAATGAAACACATCTGGTCCATTAGCCGCAGCAACAGTATAAATAGAAATGAACGTCTGCTGAGCGACTGCACTCAGACAAAATTAAAAGCCTTTGTAATCTGAGATAAATTTCACAAGCGGGAGCTTTACTGTCTCCTCTGGAATGTTATCTGGCAGTAATTCTGCAATGTGTATCCCCTGTATAAAACTGTCATACACGGGATAGAAACATCCACTACATTGTTTATACTATAGATACCTCCTATGTGACTACTGATCATGACAGCCTGACACTCTCATCCAAGTTGTTACCACGGGTCTCCTGAGCAACATGGGCCATTAGGTTAAGTGCTTGGAGCCCTCTTTGTGTAACACACCCTTTTAATAAACATATTGTGGGACGCAGCTCATCTCTGCCTCTGTCCAACTATTGCTTAACTTCAGATGGAAAACACTGGCCAAGACCTCAATTTAATTTCCCTTTAATTTACATAGTTGCCAAGGCGGTCTTTCTCCCTGCAGTATTTGGCATTGTGTTCATCATTAAAGACTTATTCTGAGAATTGATTTTCAACTTGTTAGGAGCCAGTTTGGGTTGCCTTATCGAGTGATCTCAGAGCTATACTTGTTTAAAAACAAATCTGTTAGCGAGAGACTAGCCCATATGTTAATATAAGATACATGAGGGTCAAAGAGGTCAACTACCGGCATCATGAAAGTTAATTCCCGATTAAAGCTAGAAGTCTCGCAAATGTAACTTAAGGAGATGAGTTCAGATGCCTTTTCACACTTGCAAAAAAAATCACTTGAATGAACAATGAACAAATATTAGCCTAGGCACAATATTTAATATTAACCTCCAGTAACCAATATGAAGTAATTGGCAAAAGTGCGTGTGTTTATAATTAAGTACCCAATGATAGAAACACAGAGAGGCTTCAGATAGCGGAGAAGTGCTCCTGACACTCAGACTCCCGATGCATTGTAGGGCTGCATTTGGTCAACATAGTGATCTGGGTGCTGAAGTTGTTGCCGTTGCTGCCTATGGAGGGCTGCTGGTACTTGCTGCCTGTACCCAGGAACCTCTGCAGCATCCATCTGCGCCACTTACGTTTAATCTCCACCTGTACCTGCAGGAGAGACAAGTGGGTAGAATGCAAACAGGTTGATGAGGTGGAGATTAAGAGTTCACTTTAAGGCAAACAGGAGTGGGACTTAACATTAAAATAAGTGACATAAAAGGACTGTAAACATCAAGAGTTGTTTTATGTTTGCATTTACTTACCTCTCCGTTCAGAAAGCAGTACAGAACTGCAACGACGAAACCCTGAGGAAGAGAGAAGAATATAAAACGCACAGCCTGATAACGGCTGTTGTTGAAAATAAATACCAGAGTGATATTACAGCTGGGGAAACACTCTAAATGCTTGTGTATGAATAATGACGGTAAGATTACGACACACTTTAGACTCAGACAGGAGGTTCATCATTTAGATCTCTGGGAAATGTTCCCAGGAGATATCATTCTGGGCTAAAACGGTTATAAATGAGGAGTACTTTCCATCGCTATCCATCATTGCCTTTGGCTCTCAGCGTTCATTTTCAATCTAATACCAACTGTAAATCAGCCATCTCATTATTCAAGTGAACAATTTTAAACATTTCGGCTAAATCAGCCATTAACTTGCCTTATTAGACAACACATTTCATCCTTCTATTTTCATGTAACTTTACAGAATGAAAGTATCTCTTCTACTAATCTGGTGTTTTATTTAGGACACAACTCTTTACCTCAGACACAACATGGCAACCCAGGCCAGTCAAAAGACAGATAATGTACATAAAATACCATCATTTATCAGTGTTGCTTCTTTCTAACATTTGGAAAGTTGAGATACTGGTACTAACTAATCAACACTTTGTATGTTGTCATGTGACGTTACCTGAAAGGACCCCAGAATAAGATCGAAAACCATCCTAACTTGGTGGTGGATGTGGTCAGGGATGAAGGCAAAAATGATGTAATTTATGCCAAAAAGAGGTATCAACAGCAAAGTGGATTTAGCCAGTCTCCTGAAAAAAGTCACAAAACAAAAAACAGAGGAAGTGAAAAAGAGAAGGCTTGAGTTCCACCTTGTGAAAATCTTTCAAGCTATACTCAACGCCAGGCTTTTCACTATGCAGAACGTGTGATTGCTCACCACCTCCAAGCGGAAGAAGAAGAATGTATTCAATGTCACCTGATAAGAAATGACTATGATAGAGATTTTGCACTGCACTGAAAACCTACGAGTACTGATTGGATTCCTTTCTTCCGATGTCCGGGCAATTCATTTTCTGTCGCAAGATACGGATAATGCAGATGAAGAGGAAAAAGTTCACCTGCCAAAAGAGTAAAAGACTGATTAATGTGATTGCATTTTGAAGGGCTGCATATGAAATGTTATCCATCGTAACTCACAAGTATGGTAACCAAAATAGGTGTTTTGATGATCCACCATGGGCTGTCGTCAATTATCTCCCAGCATCTGTCAGAAGAGAAAAAGGAGTAAATACAAAATAGTTTGCAAGTTAAATCATAATTTAAAATATAACAAATCCTTTAGTTGTAGTACAAAGGTAGAGAGCAGCAGAAACAATGGAGAAGAGAAAAGGGATTTTTATGTTTTGATGCTAGTTAGCTAAATAATCAAACACATTTTTTACTTTGTTTAAAAATCATTTAGCCAAGGCTAGCTTTTCCTCACATATTAGCTTATACATGACATAGCTCTCTAGCTTTAGAATTCAGGCCGGTAGAAGTATGTTACACTTTTTTACACATCTAAGAAAGTCTTGTTTAAAAAAAAATAGATTAGGTAGATGCATTTGGCTTTGTAAGGTAGTGTAGCCATAACATCCCTCAGCTCTTAGACTGTGTCTTGTTGGAGATTGATAGTTCACTACAGAGCTCCACTAAAACCAGCTATTTTTATAATATTTTGAGTGTATAATTATGTTTAAATCAGCAGTACTGATAACATATCAGTTAATTAACTTGTCAGTCGTGAGTAAAGTTAGGCTTACAAGATAAAAGCAAATATGAATGATTGACTCACCCATGATCATTCAAATAAGCCTTTGTAATCACCCATGCTGAGATAAAGATGGTTGGAGCTCCTGCAAATAAGAAATATAAAAATAATATTGTAAGTTATTTCAATATTAAAATAATCTCTACATGATGGAGAGACACTATTAATTATATCCACAATGTTCAAACACCACACTGACTCCACATTACCAAATTTGAAGCTGAGCCTTGAGCATGTGTACACTGGTAATCTTTTGGATGATTTTATGGATGAAGTAAAATTGTGTTTTGGGTATGCTTATCATTTTTAACCAGACTCATGTGCTCTAAAAAAGGCTTGTTTCCATTTTCCTGCTGGCAGACACAACATGTTGTTCCTATTGATAGACGCTTTATTGCTGTGATGGGAAAAAACATCAGACATTTTGAGCATGGTTGTTAAACTGTTTCGAAGACACATTGGAACTTCACCACCAAAGGCCAAAGTAAGTTTTTTTAAATATGAGAATGTAGGGCCCATGTTTTTCGTAGATGAAAGCTCTAGACATGCTTTTCGATGAATATATATGTGTATTTCATATCCTTATTGCCAAAGCTATCCATTACAAATATAAAAGGTTCAAAGCTCAATTTACTTGATGTCTCACTTTGGGAAGGAATACATTTTATTCGCGTGTTACGTCTGCCATAGATACTCAAATGAGTTGAATTAGCCTTTTTCCTATCAAGAGCATAAAAAGCATCGCAGGACGCGTTAGACTGCAATATAACAGCGGAGCGGAGTGGCAGCTGCCGGCTGCTGCCCATCTAAAACTGGCAGCAGGAATCATTCATATGCAGATGGAAAGGCAAAGCAGTTTCCTCTGCATGTATAAAACCCCACTTATAAATTAATTTACATATCATCATGTATGTTGTGGCTGTTGTAGTTCAAACAAAACAGACATTCAGATTGACTGAGGATCCTCTTGAAGGACATTTGATGATTTCTTGCTGCAAATGTGTGCCTGTGTGAGAGATCCGTATTCATCACAACAAAGGCTGGTACGTACCCCATCCAATCAGTATGTACCACCAGAAGTACTTCCTCTCAGAGAAGAAGGAAACGGCTAACAGAGTGTGGAGATAGAGGCCCTCGACCAGCAGCCAGAAGTAACTCGCCATGACTCCGTACTGGAAGAAGACAACCACTGCTTTGCAGCTCACCTACAGGAGAACCAGGACATTAGCAGCTTATTGTATTACAAGGGAATGTCGATAAATGCAATTTCATTAATATATTCAAATGATGAAGACAAATTAAGGTGCCAGTGGACAAGGCTACACAGAGTAGGTTTTTAGGGTATTACTCTAAAATTTGAATTAATGACTCTCTTAGAAGAAAACACTTCTATTAGACTTGGCAAGGCGCTCATCAAAAGCAGCAGTGAGGAGACAGTCATTATCCCAATGAGCATAATATAATTAGACAAAACTCTTGTATGTACAAATGGTGCTGATTATGATAATTATGGTTGCTACACTGATTAAAACTGAAGTCAAAGTGTATTTGAGATTCATGGTGTTTTTACATTTATATTTATTTCCTATCAAAAGCCCCTTGGTGCCTTGGTTAGATATTGTTTATGTGGGGAGGCTGCGTAGGTGTGATATTACAGATAAAAACAACAGTTAGCTGACATCTTAAAGCGAGATTATGTAACTTTCCTGAAAAAAAGCCACAGAAACGTCATAAAAAAACAATCATGTGGAAGGATTAAACAATAAAACTTAGTATAACAGTAACACATGAAGTTGTCAAGACAGCAAATTGACTCATAAAGCAATTATGGCTTTATTTTGCTATCATTACCGAACATAAGCTACCAGTCATACTCGTCTATGTAAGGCAATAACGGTAAAACCTTTGAATGGTGCTTAAACTGCTGTTTTACTTTATTTAAAAAGGAAAACGGTGTTATTTTTTATACTCAGCTAAAGTCTAACTTCCACCTTATAGCTAAAATGTGACTCATGAGAGACCAATTAAATACTATATGATCGTAAACAATCACCTTACCAATTTATCAAAAAACTACAATTCCCATGAAAATGTACCAACATGGTATTCTAATGTTCTTATTCCTACTCTTCAATTATAATGTTTGGTTTTGTAGAATTTCTAGATTGTTCTTCACTCTCTGTTGAGTTGAGCTGAAAAAAAATGAACTAATGTATCCAGGACTTATGGGAAAGTGTGTCCATTTAGGAAGCTAAAAACCACAGAATCTGAAAAACACAGTATTTACAAATTTACTACAGACCATAAGGTTTTGGGCTTTACGAATTTGTGATCCAACAGATGTAAACAATTTTCAGTTTGGCTTCTAATAAATCTATTTTCCCAAGGTGAGTTTTTCTCTTCGTACCGAGTAAACTGATCACGGCGTGTAGTAAGTAAAGTCCCCTTTACTGTCTTGCTTTCTACTAAAGTCTTTTTTCTTTTTCTTTTCAGAAGCAGAGGAGAGGGTTAGCAGCTGTGTTTGGACCGGGTGTAGCCTGAAGAGGAAATATCTAAAGTCAGCCATTAACCATCACCACTTCAGCGGTAGTAAAGCAGGTGATTTACGGTGTGCTGATCTAATCCTCTCTGGTAATAAAGTAGTGTATTCAGCTGGACCAAGAGCTGAGAAAACACCACTGACGTTAGGGACTTGATCAATCAAATATAAAAAGCCTTATCATATGAAACTCTTATCCAATATCTAATCTAACTCCCTATCTTAACTCAACACTTATGGCATTTTGATATTGCTGCAATGGTAATGTTGTCGAGATGGAGCGATTAAAACATGATATGAAACTTTAAATGTGATTTATTGACAAATATCTCTCTAGTTCAGGCTTAACTTCGGCAAACAGGAACTCTCACAACATCCTGTTGGACAGATGAATGAGGAATTGTCTCAGGAGTGGAAACAAATTGGCAAACATTGCTACACCCACAACCACCTGGGCACTTAGGCGTTAAGTAAACTCTGAGACAAAGCGTTAAAGTCAGTTTTGCTGAGTGAGTTATTATATACATTGGTTTTTCCTGAACGAAGGAGAGAAACTAACAGCTGGCTCCTCGTGCATCAGATAGATGAGGTAACTTGATCAAGTGGCAGGACTTTTGATTATGCCGGGAAGAAAATCAATAAAGTTTACGGCTTTGCTAATAAAATGGACATGTTGGCGAGTGAGAAAGGGTGCGTTCAATACTCACAGGTGACTGGCAGTTATCTGTCTCCCCCACGTCATACAGAACCACGTCCTTGATGAAAACAGCTACAGCTTTCAAAATGAAAGACACAAACAGGTGCATGTGGATGTAGTTTCTTGTGCAGTGGAGCTTCCTGCAAAAGAGGAAAATACAGTTAGATTCTTTCAATCTAGAGGGGAAAGCTACACCCCTCTGTTCTAAACATTACATAGCCTGAACATTTTCTAAAAAGGTGAGTGTTTATGGCCCCAAAGCACGCAATCTGAAAGAATATAAAGAGAATATCCAGTAGAAGCGTCACAGACTTCAGTTATGGGGCAAACATTCACAGAAACAAGTGCATTTTACCCGAGACAAGTAGTCATTATAAGCACTTAGAATATGGTCGTTGCCTTGTAAAGTGCTCCTACTGTGTTGGTATTATTTTATTTCAAGCTATATATATTATCAAGAAAAGCTATCTGTATGTTTCATCCTGTGATGTAATGTAGGATCTAGTTTTCCAGTAAAACATATATTTATCATGCAGAAACAAATGTGAAACAACCTTGACATTCAAATGTAATGAAGTTCAGATGAGGGATTTCTGCAGAGAAACTGTCACTATTGTAAATTCCTTCTCCTGGGTGTTCTCAAATGCCTTCCTGGTGAACTTATGATTGAGGATGAATTGTGTAAACGCATCAGACGAGGCATCCCAGCAGGACGGCGCGATGACACACAGCTTCAACCAGCTGCTTCAACACGAGAGTCCAAACCATTTGCATTTTATAACTCAGAGGAGTAAACACTTGCCTTGTTGTTTAGCCCCTAACACACCAAATGCAAAAAAACAGACTGGGTTGTGTTAACAACACACAGCAGCCATTTAAACATATTCTGATATGATCAGTGCTTTGTCATGCAAACATGTACTTTTTCTCAGCAAGCCCAGGGCTGAAGGTCAAAAGGGAATATGAACAACAGCAGTCCATCTAAGTGGTTTGACATTATGGCTGCTTGCAGTTAACCGCTTTGTTTGAGAAATATTGCAACAGTAGATAATGTCAAATTTGGACGTCTTGTCCCACAGTCACATTACTGTGTGTGAAAAACACTATAAAACCTCTATAAAATGCAGGAAGTATGGTGTGAAATGAGAGATTGGCTGGTTTTTATCGCTCTTAATGATGGAAAAGGTGTTTGATTGTCTTTACGCAGGAACATTGAGTAGCATTTTGATGTATCTGCTTACCGAAAGAGACACAGTATGATGATGGCAATCGTCAGACAAATAAGGGACACGCTGTGACCGATGGTGTAACCCACTTTGATAGCGTCGAAGAATTCTCCCTGCAAATACAATAATGCACTTATGCTCAGTGAAAACAGTGAGACTTTTAACATAAAGCAGCAGAACATGGGGCTGGAAGACCTTTGGTTTCTTACCGATGTATTATCATCTATAGTGTTGTTGGGATTGTATCCACAGTCCTTTATGTAGTCTATGCTGATTGGGGTCCAGCCTTCCTCGGTGCAGGTCTTTGACAGGTTACCTAATGAGCATAAATACAAAAGGAATATTCAATACAACTCATCACTCTGGGAGATTCACTGTATTCCAATTAGAATTAATTAGTTATACAAGTGTAATTATAATGTTGTTGCTATGTCTGTTTTGGAGGAGGGGAGTATGGGCTGTATGAGCCACAAGGCAAAACGTATCCTACATCTACTTACACATAATCATGTCACAGTTAGAGGTATGGGTCTCACTGGAATACTCCCAAATACTAAAAGAAAATGTAGGGAGAAGGGATCAGTCGTCCCAAAGGCTCAGACATGCTGGAAAGGTTCCCATGTGCATTTGCCTCCATCTGTTACTTTACTGAGTATGTGGCCACACACACACACACACACACACACACACACACACACACACACACACACACACACACACACACACACACACACACACACACACACACACACACACACACACACACACACACACACACACACACACACACACACACACACACACACACACACACACACACACACACACACATACACACACACACACACACACACACACACACACACACCACACACACACACGTACTCTGACATGCCCGTAGGGGCAGAAGTGAAAGGTCCAAGTGCATTACAGTGTCCACAACAGAGGGCACTTTCATCCCAGAGGAGAGTAGAGTACAGAAAAACTTAGTAGAGAACCTTAGAGTAGAATATATAAACTATACTAAAACCATACAGTACAGTAGTATCTACTGTAGTCTACTCAGTAGAGCTCAAATTGAGTGTAGCTCAGTAGAATAGAGTTAGGACAATTTGAGCTGACTAGAGCTCAGTAGAGTAGATCAGAATAGAGCTCAGTAGAGTAAATAAGAGAAGAATAGAGCTCACTAGAGTAGAGCAGACTAGAGCTCAGTAGAGTAGAGCAGACTAGAGCTCAGTAGAGTAGATATAGGAATATTAAAGGACAGCTCAGTAAAGCTTGGTACAGTAGAGCTCAGTAGAGTAGAGCTAGGACGATTAGATCAGACTTGAGCTCAGTAGAATAGATCTAGGAAGATTAGAGCAGAGTAGAGTAGAGCTCAGTAGAGTAGAACAGAGATGAGTACAGTCCAGTAGAGAAGAGAAAAGTGAATGATAGTGGAGTAGAGCTTAATAGAGGAGAGTCTAGTGCTTTAGGGGAATGTACATTTCTGAAGTGGTAGATCCTTGAGGCAAGAAGTTGCTAGATTTGCACAGTGAAATACTCAAACTGAAAAAGTTAATAAATAAGTCAAAACATTTGTATATTCCAGTCTTGTATTACCCCTACATTGCATTGTACCGTTTCCTCTGTAGCATCAAGCAACAAGAAAAGCATAATAATGCTCTTTCTTCTACTCTTTAGGAAATGTACCAGAGTAAAGGAGTAGAGGCTAGACATTTCTAATATTTTCTAAATATCAAAATGTGTACAATAGGAGTGTATAGTGACTTTTAGAAGATTATGTTTTCAAAACTAACAGGAAGAAGACACTGAGACACTCATCATGAACTAGATTGGCACCTCTTGTTACAGCGTTCATGAAGCATGTCTGATCCTGTGAGCAGTAGTAAGAAGCACAGATTAACATCTCAGTCTCCTATTGTGTTACATTGATCTGGACATATTCCCCATTATTTCCTGTCGATAAGAAAGTGTGTGTGTTGGTGACAAAATAATCCATGCATTGAATGCTAAGGTTGAAATGTAAATATAGGAAATTCCTTACATTTACCTAATGTATTGTTGCCCAGCCAATAGCAAATCAAGGACGAGTTGGGAAATGAGCAACAATCCAAAGTCTTAGAATGTGTTTGGCATTAAACTATAGTCGGCTCACAAATACCTGAGTGGCGTATTGCAGAGAAGATGGAGGCTTAGCTTCCTCAAACAACATGACAAGACACAAAGGAGATGATAAGCCTATGCTGTTTCAGCCCATGCCACCACTGGATTTGGCTTGTTTGAGGGATTGCCAGAAGAATGCTTTCATCATCCCCCAAAAACATGACTGCAAGGATTTTCAGCATCCTGCACCGCAACGAGGAGAGCTCAAATAAGTTAATCTCCATGTCATTGTTTTAATTTCGAGGCTTTTTTATTTTAATCTTGGCTATTCTGTCGATGTGGTGTAGTCAAATACGTTATCCTTCCTAATTATAACCTGGCAGAAGGTTTATATAAGCCTATATCGATTAGCTTCAGCTCAACAGAGTATTATGGCATATACTGTAGGTGAAACCATTGACAGCCAGCACTCTGTCACTCGCGGGCTTGCAGTGAGGGTGAGTCACTGTGTTTTTTAAAGAGATGAATGACGGTTTGTTTGTGTTAGACTTACTAGGTAAAGAGTTCATGAGAATGGCAAACTCGATCTCAGCTTAATTTACGACTTGACCCTGAATCTCTATGGCGCCACTCGTAATACTTGTTTTTGTGTGTGTTAGGATAAAATGTATAGCTGGGGATGTGTCAATAACTTTAGTGTTACGCAGCTGACTGACAGCAAATTCATTGGATAATAAGCTACATTTATTTTTTCTTTTACAAAAGGGCAACATCTTTCAAGGTATACCTCATATTGCTCTCACTTCTCAGGGTTTCAAAACATGTTCCAAATAAAATGAATACACTTTAAAATGCACAGCAGTACACAAACTAGGTAGTCTTACTGAGTTCCTGTTACGTTCTCACAGAGTAATTTACAAAGCACAGAATCCCACACCATTCATCATCATCCTTTCATTAAGTCCTATTTACATGAACTGAGAGTAAACCAGGTTCACCCGCAGAGACCTTCAATGATTTGTTGATGTACTGCATAATTGATACCGTGCACATCGGAGCATCACAGGCCACTTATCATCTCATGTCTGCCGTTGATTCCCTGAACCTTTGGCATGTCAGTGAAATATTCCTGTTCTGCCTTCAACCCCAAACATTTGGTGATTCCTCATGTGTCCCTTCACTTTTCCCTGGAATGCTCTCCTCCCCCGGGTCACACATTCTCCCATCGAGGTAACATAAACTTCCAAGAAATCCTCTCTCTTCTGCACCGAACCTTCACATGCTGATTATAAATCCGCCATCTGAATCCCACTCATGACATGAATATATCACAGAGATAAATACTGGCTTAAAGGCGCAGGAACCCCCTCGGCATGTGTGCAGACTCTGCAGAGGCACTCAGGTGTTCTAAAGCTCTGCAATCCATTCTATGGGTTGAGTTTGTGAAGTTATCCAACAGGTGACATACGCAAAACCTAGGATAGGTGCAGATCTTTTGATCAGCACTGATGAATCCTGAGAGTTTGGCCTATAACAACAAAATAATCAATAATTAAAGGATAAATTGATAATGAATTATGATAACGAATTATTCATATAATGTATTGTTTGCATATTTAACCATAACGTTGTATAGTCTTAAAGGTGGGGTAGGTAATTTTGGAGGAAAATATGTATCATTATACATGCAGCTAACAAATGGTGCCATTAGCATTCAATTTTCTGGTCACATGGGAATGTGAGTCCAAACGTAGTTCTCCTTTTAGCTCTGTTGTGGTCTCCAATAACCATTGACAACAAATATCTGACCCTTAGCAACTGAACAACTTCATTGTATTAAATGTTATTGTGCCGCAATTACTCATTTCTAGCTTTGTCTGTTTTCTGTTTGGTGCTGGACAGGTGGATGGGTAAACCAAAATAATATATAAAAAAAGGCTAAAAAAGGCTAAAAAGCTCCATAGAGTTGAATGACCACAGACTGAATGACTGCCTTATTCCCTGGGTCGTCTTCACATCGACGAATACATTGTACACATATCTATCTATCTATCTGAAATGAACAATTTGTACAGTTTAGCAAATAACTATGTTTTTATGAGCTAATTTCAAGCTCCTTTAACTTCAATAAAGCTACATTTCTCAAGGCACCAAGTTGAAATTGAGGCCTCTCTGCCAGCAAAATACTATTAAAGAATCCTCATCTCTTACAGAGAAATTACACTGAGTAGAGTCGATGTGCTAATTAATGGCAGAGATATGCGAGAAACTCTGTACAAACAGTACACACAGCAATTCAGCCAATAAACCCTCATGAGAGTGTTTCCCTTATACATAATTGCAACTGGATCTACTTCCCGAGAGGCTTCTTACACATTAAAGCAGGAGAGATAAACAAAATGTGTCTTTGATGCATGCATGGTGCTGGGAAGTTGTTTGTTTGTGACATTCGTTTTTAGTTGGCAGTGTTCTGGTGATATATGAGGCGGGGTGTAAGGACAGGTAGAAACAACAGGTGAACATGGACCAGAAGGACATTATGAGAACGAGTCACAAAACAATTGAATACAGCTACTGCTTGGCTGGAAAAATGTGATACTACTCATTACTGGGTTATTTGGTACCCAGCCCTACTTGTCTGTCATAATTATAGTAAGGTAGTCATATTAACCAATATCAAAGAAGACATATCTATATGATTATGTTTCAAGACTTTGTACTGTTTAGGAAGATATCATCACATATTGTTTTGTCTAAGTTTTAGTACAGAAACAGGTTCAGAAAACGATAGGATTGGATAAAATGTTACATACAAGTACAGCTGGAAATGACCTGGTGATGTGAACTGAATAAGTTGTTGGCCATGAAACCAAAATAATAAGCTAAAAGAAAAAAAACATTTCACAGAGTTGGGAGGGAACTGCAGAGTTGAGTGTTAATCTCTATGAGTGTCACTACAACGGACCCCTTTTTTACACACTACACATATTTAGTATTTTGAGACTTTGTTAATATAAAACTGTTGATTACAGCAGTTTTAACTAATCTTGATATGTCACTGTCCATTTACGTTAATGACCATATATTGTCTTGGATGGTCATGAGACCACTGACTGATGCGTGACGGCTGCACTGTCTATCTATGTCAAAAGACCCCAAACACCTGAGTGATTACAGGCAAAAACATCTTTCTATATATTGACTCCCTTGACTTCCCTATCTTTTTTTTAATGTCACACACAGACACATTACACAGCTTATGTGAGGAGTTTCTTACGTGTGGGAACGTCGCTGGAGAAGTAGAAGAGATATTTGGGGCAAGGGATGGTGACCACCTCATCACGATCGGCGCTGGGCCAGCAGGTGATCTTGTCCCATATCCCCCTGCAACCTGATCAAGACACCAACAAAGACATATTAGTGAATGTCAAACATTGGAACTTCAAATGCAACAACTTTTTTTTTCACAGTATGAACTGTCGAGAGAGGTGATTCCAGTGACAAACAGCAGGTGAAGGCGGAGCCCCATAGTTCCCATGGCAGCCGAACTGTGTTGGCCAAAGTCAGCTGTCCTGGGTCCATAACAGCGGATTACCTGGGTTAACACCCCTGCCGCCATGACTTATGAAACAGCTCCCTGTCCTTCGTTATTGTTATTTAAATTCAACATGTTTGGTCATGGGATGCAGAATCAGGTCACTGCACTTTTGCATCCACACCTGCTCTTCCACTGTGATGAAAACCCTTCACCGGGTGATATTTGCATGTTCACCCAGAGGATTTGATAGAATATATAAAATGATATCAAACTAAAAAAACATAATGAGTGTTTAATGACTTTTTCATTGTGTGAAAGTAAACAGAGTCTCTTGATACATGCAGTAAGGAACAATTAAGTGTCTTTGGTAAATGGAGGTAATGAAGGCTCAATATAATATGATTATTTCCCTGTAGAACATAATTGTGTGTGGCGTGCTGTGACGATGAAACACACCACTTAGCAGCCTGTAATGACAACTTCATCAACCAAGAACATCTTAATGTTTCTTAAAGGAATACTTCAACACTTCAGAAAATGATCATTTCTGTGCCAATTACTCATCCCCTGGTACCTTGAATTCTTGAAGAACATTATCACTATTTAACATTATCTCAAAAGCCTCAATGGTGAACAAAATTGGGGAAAACTCTTGATGACTAGAGTAAATGGGGGGCATTTAACAACAGAAAAACTATCCTTTTACACACTTTCATGCAACTCGTGCTGTAAAATCCAATAACATTGATATCTTACATAGATGCCTGAGTAGTATGAGTAGCCTGCCTGAACATTTGTGACACTGTTTATGTGGAAGTGTTTTTTGTGAAAATGCATGTCTTCCGCAAGTAGTGATCGTCCGACTAGATAAGTGAGACTAAAAGTTTACACTGAACGAGTTGTGTGAGAGTTTGTAAAACAATGTTAAGGTATAGTTTTGCTCTTAAACACAGCCCTCATTTAATCCAATTCCTCAACACTATTCTCTGTTTTAGATTCTTCTCTAACCTTGACATGTATGGAAAGTGTAAGGGGAAATGTAGAAAATGTAATTTAATATGTAAGCAAGGCACATGTGACAAGAGGCTGGCATTAGGTGTAAAACAGTGTTCAGTCATGCGATGTGTTATGTAAAGTTAGGGGGGAGGTTTGAAAAGCTTTTGTTGACTTTAGAGCTTGTTGTGTCACTTCGATCAAAATACTTGTGGATTGAGTAGATTGAGCAGAAAAAGTGTAGGAAGGACAATAAAGATATTGTCAAACACACTAAAAAATAACTACATACCTGTTGTTTTGTTCTCAATCTGAGCCTCACACAGGTCCCTCTCTTTGTCTATCTCGCTCACCATGTCACACATCTGACTCTGCACGGAAAACACCTGCAAAGAGAACGTTTGACACATGTTTTCTGTTCATATATCATTGGCTACGTTGACATGTAATGTGTCTTTTGGATCATTTGTTTATTAGTGAAGCCTGCAAGAGTTATGCTGCATGTTCTCGCTCAACATGTCAATGCAAACACGTCTTATTGTCTCCGCCGCAGTCTTTCTGAGATGAGCTGACCGGACCATTAATCTCTCCGCCCGGCACACTTGGCAGACACAAAATCAATCTTTGGACTGTAATTCAACCATCAGATTCCTCAGATTTGCATGTGCGTTTTTGGAAGACCAGGAGGGAATCTTGTAGCCAGTTCAACATGAATCTGAACCCATGAGAGTTTATCATCTCGGAAAATATGCATACCCTCTGCAGGACCCAGAGATTTATTGCTTCCACTAAGGTGGATGAGTCTTCGCTCTTTGGGCATTAATCAGACTGGTAGCCTACTATGTGGCTATTGTTAGCCATATGACTCCAGGGTCTCCCCCCACACAAGGTGACTCCCCCTTTTAATTTATGATTCATTTTGCTCCTAAGGGTACGCTGCGCTACTTCAGCCACAGTATAGATTCAGATATGAGATTATTGTCAGTGATGGATCAGCGCAGCCTTAAGCAATGCAAGTTGAAGTATCAGGAAAACACTTCTTGCACTCCATCATTATGATTATAATACCTGATAATTACCTTCCCAGCTAGCAAAGACAGCCCACTGACACAGTCTGTGAGTGTGTACAAATGCAGATGTTAAAAGCTATTATAAGGGCTATGACCCCTAACTGACTTCCAGCATGAATCATACATTCTTTTTCACAGGAGGCGGTTAGGGATAAGGAAGCTGGAGACCAGAGAGTACCGAGGAAGTCCTTTTGACTTCTTCTGGTTATTTTTACCTAACCTTATAATAAAGAAAAAACATCAGCTATGGACATAAAAACACATGAATGTCACTGAAAACAGTTGCAGTAGGATCTATGTTGGAACGGCCATTTAAATGCTGCATGTTTTGCCTGAAGAGATTGACACACAGAAAATAAGCTGAACCCGGAGTGATTGGAGCCGAAGACATTTTTAATTAAAAAAATTAAGAAATAAACATAAAAAACACCTCAAGTTTAAATATAAGGCTATTGGTTGTAAAATATACTTTATAACAAAAGCAAGTATGACGAAACCTTCCTATACTGAGGCTAAGTGTTTTCGTGATTCTAGTTCTGTACTCGACTAAAGAAAATATGAATCGACTAACACTGTGACACATTTTTGTATAATTTAATCAATTAGTGGATTCTTAGTATCCACTAAGAAGTATGCAAAAATAACTACTTTCAAATATGGTGTTTACTAAAGTTGAGATCATTTTTGTGGAATAAGTAATTTAGCATTACAAAAAAAACATGGAACAAAACGACCGTTTATTCCTAACGAACTAAATGCTTATCTCCTCAGCTTCCCTCCTCACGTATTTGACCGGTAAATGACTCAAGCTTCCCATTAGGACAAATTAGTGCGCCTTGCATCCAAAACCATGGTGTAAAAAGCTATGTCTCTACATTAAATATATCTACGTTGACAAATATTTCCAAATGAAGCCGCGACCACAAGTTCAACTCAACTCATGAGGAAATGCAAATTGATTTAATATAAAGTAGCCTACTTACCGGTACCAGCAACATGAAGGAGAGAATGAAGAACATGCTGTGCGAAACTGACACCAACATATCCTTTAGAGAAGTTGAAGCTTTAAAAATGAAAGAATGTTGATAGTAAAAAACAAAAACTTGTATAAGATTGGTTGAAGTGGTGATAGTCCTCCGCAGGTTGTGAGCTTTATATACAGTCTATGGTTGTGAGGGTCTCGCTGCTCCGCTCCTGAACGCCTCCTCCTCCTCCCTCTCGAGCTTCACCTTCACCAACCAAGTAACCAATGACAGATCATCAGTGAACGTCAGCAGGGCGTTAACACAAAGCTGCAAATAAACCGTAAATTCAAATGAAGACAGGACTGACCCTTTGTTTTATATTGTAGGCCTATATATAGCCTATTGGTATTATGACACTAAAATCTAGTTTATAATATGACTGCCTGCAATGGTGTGTTTTATTGCATAACCCTGTAAACAGATTATTCATATTGCCTGAGTTTCTTAAATAATATCAGTGTTTAGTGTGTATTTAGTTACCTTACAGCACGTAAGTACATTTACTCAAGTGTTGTGGGTTGGTAAAATACAATCTGAGGCTACTTCTGCTTTAAAACCTTTTGCAGTTTTATTTTATTTTACAATTAGATGCACATATTGAACAATTGACTGCTTCAAATGTAGTTAACACACAACTCTTAAATATTAAACCAGTGATTTTCCTTTTAGGTCTATTTTCAAGAAATTAAAGAAAATGTATTTTGTCTTTTTGCCTTTCCATTTATCATGTCACGATTTAACAAGATTCACATTGTGAGCCTTTCGACTCTGAGGTTGGCTGCCACTCAACTGACTAATCTACCTGTATAAAAAGATGGGAAAGGTTAGACAAAGCTAATTTTCCAGATGAACTACAAGTCTGATGAACTACAAGTCTGACCATTCCCAAACAATAAAGGGCACATTTCTGTAAGAAATATAAATCACATTATTTAAGCTTACCTGACTGAATTCGGATTTGGGTAGTGGGCAACACAAACATGAACACATGTCATCAGCTTCACAAAATATGCAGATGAACAATTTAGACATATTTTTTTATTATTGGCTCAGACCATATAGAAGGCCATATATAGCAGACATTCACATACACTGTATAGTTACATGCAATACAAATCAGTTTCTCCCAGTTGGCTGTCAGATGTGGAGCCGGCTGACATACTGCTCTCAGATAAGATAATGCTCAGAGAATGATGGATGGTGCATATATGCATGTAAATAAGTAGCAGCAAGTTGTGGAGAAAAGAGAGTTGGAAAGCTCATAATTCACCAAAAAACAGTGTGGGAAGAGGAGCAATACGTATATATGCTACATATGGAAGTTCTGCATAGGGGAAACCATGCCGGTTGTTTTATCTGTATCACTGTGCATTGTTTGAAGAGGTTGATACATTCACTTACAACCATGAGGAATGTAAATGCAGTGGCAGCATGTGCTTTACCTTAGGTTTTAATGGTCTGGTTTTACTATTGGCACATGACTCACCGAGGCTTATGAAAGCTTTGATGGCTATCAGAATAACCTCCTCGTGGGTTAAATGTCTGACCATTTGAGTTATCTTGGATCAACCTTGTGGAATTTCAGGTCATAACATTTCATTTCATCACTAGTTTCTTGTGTTCAACCCATCCACAGTCTATGGTTCATCCTTAATGTTTGTTGCTTTCTGAGCAATCTATATGCACATTTCCTGATATAAATATGATACGTTTGGAAGATTGGCCGTAATAGTGTACACTTAAAATTCAAGAACGGTGTCATTTGTAAGTAATACCAGAAATTGATGAATCTGCACCTGAGTATTGGAACAAAATCAATCACTTAAACATAGGGGTGTAACGGTATCCGTATTCGTCCCGTACCGTCACGGTTCGGACGTCACGGTTCGGCACATGCAGTCACACGACGAATACGCCTTTTTTTTTACGAGTGGGAAAAAAGTCTGTCATTCAGGGCAGTATCCATTACACTATTTATAATCCAGGGGGCGGTATTGCGCCTAAAAGCTGTTTGCCAGCCGCCCTTAAACAACAAATGAAGAACAAGAAGAAACACAACAACAAAACGAACAAAATACAAGAAGAAGAAAAGTTAGTATGGCGATTTCAGATAACACACAGGAGCTAGAACCCACCTGCTTCTTTTAAATCAGCTGTGTGGGAACATTTCGGGTTCCCTGTGGACTACAATAACGATGAAGTGCGCGAGTGGTGGATCGGACGAGGACGGTGTGTCGGCGTTGTTAGACAGCGGTGCGGTATGCTAAGCTAATTTGTTTGACATCAGCCATTATAGATAATAGAGAGGCGAAGTCCCTCCCCTTCCGAAAGCCTCCATGGGACCCCGGAAGCGGAAAATTATACATTGAAGTCAATGGAGAGAGAAAGGTTATCTTTTGATCCCGTTTGAATTGTGCCACGAATGACACATATGATGTTTGTCAATTTAAAAGAACATTTTGCAAGTCAAAAAAATAAAAATGTGTCGTAAAACTGTGAAGTTACACATTTTTTCGTGTGAAACCGCTCAGTGAACTACAGGTCTCTCGTCTCGCACAATACGCGTCACCAACATAAAGATGGCCGTCACGTTAGCACATTTCACCACATTCTTTCAGAATGAGAATAAAAGTATTTTACGAGGTGAAAATCACTACAAGTCTGGGCACGTTGAGAGCTGTACCTATATGAAAGGGGAGTTAGTCGGTTCTGTAAGAGCCAGCATGCGGGACCGGCTTTACAAGGTTTCGGTGAGTAATATGAGTGCAATGTGTAACGTTAATGTCAGCTAGCTAACATTAGCTAACAAGGTACACTAACGTGTTTTGTTTTAGTAACTAGTTTTCTCCTTAAGAAATTCGTGGTCTCTGTGTATGCTGTGGATAACATTAGTGTTCACAAGAACAAGGTACACTCCCGTGTTTTGTTTTAGTTGCTCTTCAGATTGAAGCGGACAGTTTTATATCGACTATACTGTATGTGTGATCTCCTTTTTCTCGTTGTGTCATTTGAGTTTATTTGCTGTGTGTAGATTCAAGGATTTTGGTTATCTAGGCACAGCTGTGTGTGACTCCCTCTGGTACACTGGTATGTGTTTTCCTAATGTAGAGAGCATTGATTAATTAATAAACTACACACTGAGTCTAGATCCTGACCAAATCCTTTTTTATTGTTGATCAAATGTTTTTCAAAAATGTATTCATACACATTTAGAAAAATACAATGTACAATCACAACCAATACAACACAAATTACAAAAAATACAGAAAAAACAAACAATAACAACAATCAGACAAGAGGACAAAACTATGGAAAAATAAACCCTCCCACCCCCAGATCCGGACCATACTTGTATTATTGCTCATTCAATCTATTATAGCATGCTAACAAATGGTACTTACTTTATTTTTACAGATCTGCATGGGAGACGATGGTGCGATGCAGAGCGCTGTCTGTGATTGTGCACAGGAGATGTACAAATGCAGCCATGCTGCAGCATTGGCAATATTTGCCATGTGGCAGATCAGCTCCACAGATGTTGAGTGCCAGTGGAGGAAGCCTGGCACTTAAAAAGTAGTCCAGTCGGTGTCTCAACTTTACCAACAGCGAGAGGAGACATACAACCCACTGGCCAGAGACATCGCCAACTGTCAACTGGGGGGTTGTAAACGAGGCCGAAGGGGTGAAGGCTTAGAATCGAGTCTGGTCTCTTTGTGAGTGAGTCGGGTGTTTTGGGAGCATCACCCGATGGACTTGTGCAGCCATCTGCCCTGCTGGAGGTGAAGTGTCCACACAGCCAGAGGAACATGACCATCGCAGTCCAGTTACCATCCTTCTGTCTTCGTGAGGAGGGTGGGTCATATATTCTCAAGGAGAATCACCCATACTGGCACCAGTCAGGGCAGCTGCATATCACAGACCAGAGTCTCTGCTACTTTGTTGTGTGGACCACGAAGGAGGTGATCATCATCCCCATCCCCAAAGACCCTGCATGGCATGGAAATCTCCTCCTGGAAAAATTCTACACCCAGCATATGCTCCCTGTGTTGGCCAGTAGAGGTAGATTGTGGTGGAGATGCTGAGCAGTTATTTAATTGTTGCATGTAATTATTATTATTCTGCGTGCTTCTTAGTTATTCCATCTTTTGCTGTAACATGGATCTGTATGTAACTCTATATTTACTTGTTATCTACCACACTTCCTTCTACATCATACACCATCATTATACATGATGGTGTATATAGGATATATATATTTGTATACATATCTGTAAATTGTATAATTTTATTTAAACATCTTTTTGATCTCTCAAACTGAGTAAAATTGACAATAAAGTTGACTTTGAAAAATATATATATTCTTTATGAAAATAGTTGACTGTTGTCAAATGAATCCAAATGAAACGTTGGACTGAACTACAACTACGCCTTTAAATCTCTACGGACTGTTTTTCAGTGGGATGGCAAGTTCCTATCTTTAAACATTTATTAGTTTTTTCTCAGAACAGATTTGATTTTCTGAAGTTAATTTAACTTTGCCGACCATGTAAGGTCATTATTAAAAGGTACAATCAATTTGTTTAGGGTTGACTAAAATAATGAAAAACATTTAATTTGGATAATTTACTGACAGAATAAGAAACTGAATGATGCTCTACTCACCTGTTCCTTTTTTATAAAGTGAAACAGTTGAAACGATAGATTTTAGTAAACTTAAAAACAACCTTCTCCAAAAGCTATCAAGGAATATACCGAATACTTACAATACAATACCTGTTACTCATATATTAATGTCTTTGTAACTTCAGTAAACCACTACCGCACTCATTTCTTTCATTCATCACGGTTCAGTAAACTAAGTGATACATGAACCAGTTTAATCATTATAATAACGTAGGATGGCAACTCTTTGAAACTGTAGGTGGCTCTTAAAAGAGCCGTTGTGTTTGGGTGTGCTGGTCTCAGGTCAGTCTAAGCCCTCTCTCCGCGGATGCGGCGGGCCAGCTGGATGTCCTTGGGCATGATGGTGACCCTCTTTGCTTGGTTCATCTTGGGGGGCAGCTACATGGATGTCGGTGCAGTCCACAATCATTGTGCAGTTGAAGGCAGAATTAATTTATTATTGACTCCGAATGAA